GTCCAGTAAGGGGTGTTCAAAAAGCACAAATGAGGGCGTTATCGGCTTTGTTTAGCAGCACATTTTCTTTTCACTTCTTGGGAGGGGTCCATCTCTGGGTAGCTTGGGTGTTTAGGACGAGGCTTTTTTTTTATGTACGATTTTGTTTTTACGATGCCATTAGTGTAAGCCTGGTGAGAGAAATGCAATAAAAGAGGCATGGTGGTTTCGATAACTTTTGTTCATCCCTTGACCTTCATCATTTCGTGCACCATGTGTGATGTGATACCCACCCCCGGCACCTGTCATCATCCATGCCCAGCCCCTGATGCTTCTTCTTTTTTTCTTTTTTTTCTTCTCGCGGCCTTGGTCCGATTCCTGTCGGATGTGCCACACCTTTTTCAGGGGCTGCAACAAAGCCCGTCCCTTGCTGCGGCTCCCTGTCGCGGCGACGACTCATGGTGCCTGCCCATGTCAATCCGCAGATCCACAAAGCTTAACGAACGTCCCGAGAGGCGCGGTGGCACGATGTGCAAAAGACAAGCCTCGGGCGGCCGAAAGTATGCGGCTCGCTAATCGCCTGAAGATCAGAATCGTGCCAGAACCCAGCACAATGGTGCAACTTTGCGCGCGTTGGTAACAGAGGTTACAGAAAACCCCGCCAAAAAAAAGAAAAAAGAAAAAAGGAGACGACGTTGGCGAGCAACACAGACAGGCTGTAGCCCCCCGGCATCGGATGTCATGCGTCGGCGAGTCCGCTGATCCCCGGGGGTGCGCCGTAGGGGGTAACACCCCGAACCAAGGGGGGCCCGGCAGTGTGGGCGGCAGGCCGCCAGCTTTCGTGGGTGCGGCCATGCATGGTGCGCAACGACATGGGTAGCCCCGTCTCATATCCGAGCCCTGTCGGGAGGAGAGGCATGATCGGGACCTCTCGTCCTCGTCGTAGAGATGTTGAAACTCTGCCCAGCCCGATATTATCAACTCCAAATGTTGCTTGGGGTGAATATCCGGTCTGTCATATTTCACCTACTCGATCGCTTCACCATCTTCTTACTCGGGTGAATAGAGACAGAATCTCGTCTCAGCTGACTGATGCGTGTTATAAACTCCTGTACCGGGACTTCGATGAGTTTGCGTTTAGGCCCATATCGAGTGAATGTTGATACGTGGTAGTGGACGGATATAGGCACATCATCTTGCGGGCAGTTATAAGGCGATACAAATGGAATTCACAAGGGAGACCTCTCGGGAGAAAATGTCGCTACTAAAATCTTGTACGACACTGCGAGCCGAAATATAAATAGAGCATCTCCGCCTGATCCATGGCATCCACTAGGTTCGAAAAGACTACTGTCCTCCTTAGGGCTTGACCTTGATGGATTCAATGACATCAGCCACCGAGGGCGCTCGTCACATACAGCCGGCAATGACGATCAAGGAGCTGGATTGGCCGACCGGGGAACAGACTACTTCATGAAGGGATAATCATTCTTTTTTTCTCCCATTATTTTATTCTTTCCTTTCACTACCATTTCTCCCTTACGTTGTCTCTTTTCATTCTTGACCGGAACGGCGGACATGTATGTGCAGGCTGAAACGCAATGTTGGAGACATGGCAACTGACTCACCTTCAACGGCCCCCGTAGCGGAGAGGGCAGATAAAAGAACATCTGCAGGTACCTAGTCCAGTCCGGGGAAAGTGAGTGTGCCGGGCAGTTTTCCCTTGCCTTTCCTCCGCTTACTCGTATTCGACTGGACCGGCACGGGTTGCTCCTCTTCGGACGAGCCGTCGCTGTCACTATCGCTACCGTCCTCGTCGTCTTCATCATCCTCCTCGTCTTCACGGGCCCGTTTCTTGGACGGCGCATCCTCCGCGTCGTCCTGGGACTGGGACGCGGCCTCGGCCCAGACCTTGACCGTCCTCCCGCCGCCACTGATCATCCTGCCCATGCAGTCAAAGTCAATGGCCGTCACTCCCTCGAGATCGTCATGACGGAGCACCGTCTCAACCTCCCTCCTCCGAAGGTCAACTATGCTGAGGTTCCCGTCGCCCGACCCGACGGCCACCTTGGTGCCCCAGCCAAGAGACTCGGGACCACGCACGATGCAGTCGAGACTATCAGACTCATCCTTGCCGCGACCACCGGCAACGTAGATACGTTCCTGCTGATCATCCCAGGCGCCGCGGTCCCACAGGGTGAGGACGCCAGAGCCGGTGCCGACGGCAACAACCGCGTTTCGGCGCATCTTCTTGGGCCCCAGGCCAGCGGGGATCATGGCGGAGCACAGCAACTCGTCCTCCTGGTCCTCGCTCCGGGCCATGATGCCGCTTCGAAGATCTGTGACGGCAAGGGTGCTGCCGCCGGTGCTCACCCACTGCTTGGGGAAACCCGACGTGCTCTCAGCCGAGGCCGGGAGAGGGGTGAGGCTCGTGACGTAGTCGTCGTGGGGCATGTGCTTGCGGGCGGGCTCCGGGTTGATGCTCCGGTTGTCACGCAGATCGAAGATGTGGAGGGCGCCCGAGTCGGTTCCGAGCAGCAATGTCTTGGGGGCTAGGACATGCATGATGGCGGGGGCATCCTGGTGGCTGCCGCGGAGGGGAATGTTGATCTTGGAGGCTACCTGGCCTGTCTCAGCGGAAAATTGCTTGACGATGCAGTCGGTACCAGCCGAGTAGACAACTATTTCGTATATTCAAGAGTCAATGGCATACATGTCAGCCTTCCAGCGTCCACCACGTTGCACATGTTCTGGCGCACACGAGACCTCGTGTCACCCTGCGTCACGGCGCTCTGGTCGATTCATACCCTCGCCATCATGGCTGTAGGCCAGGCTGCGGCAGCTGCCCTTGTGCCTCCGCGTGGACCACACCTGCTCAATGAGGCCCTTGCCGTCCTCCTGCGCGTCGGGGATCTTGAAGCAGTGCACATGGCCGCTCGCAAGGCCGACCGTCACCAATGGTTTTTCGGGATGGAGCACCTGGGTGAAGAGCTCGGCGCTCAGCGGCAGAGAGCAGAGGTTTTCGAGCATTTTGGGTCGGGCGGTGCTGGGTTGGCTGGTCGTGTCGCGTTGTTATGGCGAAATCATGTCTGGTTTGGTGGATTTCTTAGCTTGTTTCCTCCCATCGCGTTTGTCAGTCTTTTTTTTTTCTCGTGTCAGTCCGGTCCCACGAGCTGGAGCTTGAGCTCCCCTGCATCCCGTCTGCACCCCGCCAGCGGTCTCCACCGAGGAAGGAACGCCCTTTCCCCCACGAACTTGCCTGAAATGCATTGACGCCCTGATACCAGGCATTCTTAAGGTTGGACAGATGGCAAGCGCAATGATGGCGTGGCAGCCTACGTACTACTTCCTATACTTCCCCTAGCCGACCCCAATTCAATTGGTTTACGGGGGCAATATTCAGCACGCAATCGACTTTCCTATTTCCTATCTACCTCCTATCCTAACGATTTTCGATCTTATGAAATCGAGCTGTCTTCAGATAACGGGCTCAACTGCCTACCCTGTGCACCAACCGACCGCCATTGACTGTTACATGTGTGCTCAGTGGCACCAGACATCGACAGAGGGAGAAAAGCATTGATTGGGGTCGTCGATCTTGGTCGTGGCACTCCCACACGCACCACCAAGACCACGACTGCGCTACCCACCTTGTCTAGAGCGTCCAGAGCACGCAGCCCGGCCGAAAGACGAAGGCTGCCTCCCTCGGTACGGGCACATCTAGATATCATCTAAATACCCATAGCCGGCATACCGAGCCGTAAGAGGGGAAGAAAGGCGGCGAGCACCCGATCGCTGCCTACCATGGCCTACCGGATCCTCGCGCTGCTCGTTTGCGGCGTCGTGGCCTGCCTGGCTTCTATCATCTCCATCATGACACACCAGCAACCGCCACGATGCATCATGTACCTCACTGGGTAAGCCGACCATGCCTTGTCCCCCCTTGCCACGTTCCCAGCCCGCTAGGGCCGTTGACGACTCCCGCTAAGCGCACACCAACGGCATGCTCGCGCAGGCAACACAACGTGGTACCTGACATGGGCCAGCTTGGCCATGTGACCCACGTCGCGCTAGCCTTTATGAGGTCGACTGACTTCAACGATGACGCGCGCGTCGACTGGCCCATGTTCACCACGGTCGACACGGCCCGTCGCCAGTTCGTCCCTGGCACCAAGGTCATGGTGGCCATCGGCGGCTGGGGCGACACCGAGGGCTTCGCCACGGCCGCCCGTACCGAAGAGTCCCGCCGGCGCTTCGCCACCAACGTGGCCCGCATGGTCGCCGCCACGGGCGCCGACGGCGTCGACGTCGACTGGGAGTACCCCGGGGGCAACGGGGACGACTACAAGCAGGTGCCCAACTTGGAGAGGGCCTGGGAGGTGGACGCCTACCCCCTCCTCCTGTCCGAGATCAGAGCCGCCCTGGGCTCGGGCAAGGTCATGTCGGCCGCCGTGCCGGGCCTGGAGCGCGACATGATGGCCTTTACGCGCGAGACGGTCCCCCGAATCCTCCGACACCTCGATTTCCTCAACGTCATGACGTACGACCTGATGAACCGGCGCGATAACGCCACCAGGCACCACACCGGGGTGCAGCTGAGCCTGGACTCTATCGACGCTTACGTCGCCCGCGGCGCGTTGCCGTCCAAGCTCAACCTGGGCTTCGCTTTTTACGTCAAGTACTTCCAGACGGAGCACGACAGGTGCCGCGACGCCGAGACTCCCGTGGGCTGCCCGACCTTGCTCCTCGAGGACCCCAAGACGGGAGCGGACCTCGGCCGCACCGGCGGCTTCTCCTGGCACGACTCGGTCCCTAGCGCGGTCCGCGGCTCCTTCGAGACGGCGTTGGCGAACGGCACGTACGACGAGTCCGAGGGCGGCTACTACTACTGGGACTCGAAGCAGGACCTGTGGTGGACGTTTGACACTCCCGACGCCATACAGAAAAAGTTCCCCATTATTGTGCAGAGGAAGAATCTCGGAGGCGTGTTTGCCTGGGGTCTGGGCGAGGATGCTCCGGAATTCAAACACCTGCAGGCCGTCAACGCAGGACTGAAAAATCTCTTGATTGTCAAAGAGTCTCCGGTCAGGCGAGAGCTCTGAATTCTAGTCACACAGGACGGTATTTTGTGATGTGAATATTCAGCTGGGCGATGGAGCAGCCGAGGGCGGATGATACAGGTTCATTCGAACGGTCCTCGAGGGTTGGTTAGAATAATAATAATCACTTTTCATTTCAGAGGAACCTTGTCGAATAAAAGATTCCTGTGAGATATTAGGTTTTGATGCGGGAGCGAAGCTAGACCCAGGAAATGACAAAGCCAAGTCGCACAAGGCCGCCGGGGTCGAAAGGGCAAGAAGAACAAAACAACGCTGAACGCCCGAATATCGTGACCTCCAAAGCTGCTGCTCGGATTTGAGGCAGGGGTATTTCCAACGGAATGAGAGACGAGAGACAAGCAAAAAGGAAAACAAAGCCGCCGTGCGAGCATCGCACTCGCATACACCCGCCCAAGTGCACGATAAATACTGTCCAGGAATGTCAACATTATCATTGAGCCAAACCCAGTTGCCGTTCTGGTTCTGGGGTCTTCGTATCGTCGGGTCGTGAAGGCGGTCCAACTATTTTTCGTAGGATATTGGACACCTCTGCATACGTACGCTCGGCGCTCAAGCACCGGTGTAGGGCTGGGTCTTGGTGTGGGGTGAGTGCTGGTCGGCGGTGACGCCGCTGCGGGAGCGGGAGAATTCGAGCACCTCCATGACGAGGAGAGCAGTGAATATGGCCCTGCGTGCGCGGAAACGTGTCAGATAAGATGATGGAGAGAGAGGGAGAGGGGAGACGACGGCGGACAGCAAGGAGCTTACCAGAGGAAGAAGCCAAAGGCGATGGCGGCCTGGATGGCGCCGCAGGCGGCGGTGGCGCTACAACCGTAGCGGGGGCCGAGCCAGACGGCGAGGGCGATGGAGCCGGCGAACCAGAAGATGACGGTCACGGCAAGGGCGCCCAGGGCCACCATGCGGTGGAAGAGGCGGGGCATGAAGAGCGGGGTCAGGCCCAGGTAGGCCAGCACGAGCAGCGACCAGATGGAGTTGAAGAGCATAAAGTTCAGGCGATCGGGCGACCAGTTGCCCCATGGCGAGGCCCACAAGCTTACGCCTGAAGGGGGAGGGAAAACAAAGAAGCGTGTTAGTGCGGGTTGGCGAGTACGGGAAAATCTCAAAGGGGTTGAATAAGGTGCTCACCATAGGCGGTCAGGCCGAGCTCGATGATAGACAAGACGATGGCCACAATGTGGAGGATGGTGATGATGCCGAAATTCATTTTGGTGGATTTCGGGGCCGACGAATCTGGCCGGAGTTGTTGATATGTGTCTTGTCGTGTGCGATATCCGGAGCGATGCTCTCTCCTTGAGGATGAGGAAGCGGGAGGGGCAGGTGGTGTGAGCCGAGCAGGTAGTTATTGGATGCAAGCAAAGGCCATTCGCAGTGACGATGGGGAGGGGCACGGGTAAATATATAAGGTACATTTATTAACTACGGTCGACTGCAACCGCCTAGCTAGCAATGACGCAGCGCGACGATGAGCTACCCACACAAAGAAGCGGCGGGCCAGGTGGGTTGGGCTGGCCATGACGTGGTTTGCTGGAGACCCGTCGTCCCATGACAGGCCGAGGAACCCTGAAGGCGTGCTTGGCATTCTCACCTTTGCTGTTCATATTCATAATAGGCGCCTGCTAGCCAAGCAGTAGGTACCCCTACCTACCTAGCGGCTGCCCTGGGGTATGGTGCCGTGGCTAGGATCATGTCGGTTGGGCCGCTGCACCCCTTCCCGCCCGTCCCGGATGTGGAGAACAAGACGGAAGGAAGAGACAAGAAGCAAAAAAAAAAGGTCGAGGTCGGCAATGACTTCATTGGGTGGGGCAGGCGGCTCCAGAGTTTTTGGGTGGTCACAAAGCAGGCGGCCAATCAGACGAGCGTCTTGGCTTCTTGACGTGTTGTGAGCGCAAAAAGGGCCAGAGCTGCATGCATGCAGTAGCCCGAGGCGGCACTTGAGGCGGGCTGGGGTTTGACAGACGGCTGGGCTGAAATAAAGCCACGCCGTCTTGCCTTGAAAGTAAGGGATCTCAATTTCTCACCATTGCAAGGGAGAGAGGAGGGCTGGGATTGGGCCAAGTCGGAGGGCGGCGGTTTGCACAGCCGGAACGGACGCGAGGCGGAAAAAAAGCCCAACAAAAAGGGAGAATACAGACACACCTCGGGCTTTTCTGACCGTGGCCGACGGACGGTGGAGGCCGGGCGCGGAGACGCAGGCTGCGATGCAAGCGGAGGCCTGCTGCAACCTTGGCATGCAGTCGTCCCTCCCCGTGCTGGCCTGGCCGAGTGCCCTTTTCGTGCGCCTGCAGGGTGTGCGTCAATAAAAGCGGCAGGGAGACGAGATGACAGAGGGCGGCGAGGGAATGTGAGAGTCGATGAAAATCAGTAAGGGAGATGGATGGAGAGCTCGAAAAGGTGGAAAGAGCACGGGGCGCGCAGAACCCCATCGGCCAAAACTCCACCAGCCCATCGGCCAAAACTTCACCAGCCCATCGGTGTGGCTATTTGCGCGACAGTGGCGCCACCCGAATGGGCAGATGCGTGTTTTAGTCAAGCCAGGAAAAGGATGCGTGATATGGGCGCTGATTGCCGCTGAAGATAGCCCAGAGCCCAGAGCTTTCACCACTTAAGCCAATGTTCTCTGAAGAGAGGGAAAAAGGCCAGGAGCCAAGATACCCCCACGCGAGCCCCGATGCAGCATCTACCCTCGCCCCTAGCCGCATGCACGCAATCACACACTGCAAAACCTACCTCGCAGTCGTTTCTTTATTAGTGGATACCTTCATACCACTTACCCACCCCCATTCAGCTGCCAGCCACGGGTTCTAGCGAGCCGGCCGGTGTCATCAATGGGCAGGACGCCCTTGTAGTAGGGCAGCAGAGAGAGAGAGAGGCGTTCGTCTTGAGTAGTGAGGGGGCCGGGCGCTTCCATGCTGGTGGGGGAGGAGGAGGCGTCGTTTGTATTTTTTTTCTTCTTCTTTGTTCCTTTCTGCCTCCCTTGCCTTTTCTTCCTACGCGCCCGCGCAACCGCAGGGCACACACCACCTCCTGTGACACTTACACACTTGCACACGCACACCCAACGCACGCCGACTGCTCGCCACCCCCGCCGAGCCCGTCACATCCACACCTCGTTCGTGCATGATCTAGCCCGGTAGCATTATCCAGACGGACGGTCTACCCGTAGACCGGTCTTCGGTCCTGCTCTGGTCTGTTCGTCCCGTCTATATATTTGAAGGGGCACATCCCTCCCACCCCTTCTTTTCATCCGAGTTCCTCTGCATCACACCCCCCGGTCTCCACTAGAGCCGCCTGCCGATTTGCACCCGTCCCTTTTTGATATACCGGACGTGCGCTGCGCGTGGCTAGGTACCTGGTGTGTGTGTGTGTGTGTGTCGCTCCAGCCCAGGACGCACAACATGCAGGAAGACCACGACCTCCCTCCCCGGATCGTGCCCGACGAGGCCCCGGCCCGCAGGGGGCTGGGCCACCGTCTCCGGCGCGTCCGGCGCTCGCTCACGACCAAGGAGGGCCTGGTGGGCGACTACGACTATAAGTTCCTCTTCATGCCGAACCTGCCCTTCATGCGGCCGCCCACGCAGGCCGCGCCCTTCTTCGGGCTGCACGACCGCATGCCCCTGCTGCTGGCCGCCCTCCTCGGCTTCCAGCACGCCCTGGCCATGCTGGCCGGCCTCATCGTGCCGCCCATCATGATGTCCAACTTTGCCAACCTGCGGCCCGACACACGCCAGTACCTCGTCTCCACCGCCCTCATCGTCTCGGGCCTGTTGTCCACCATCCAGATCACCCGCTTCCACATTTACCGGACCCCCTACTACATCGGCACCGGCCTCATCTCCGTCGTCGGCATCTCCTTCGCCATCATCCCCGTCGCCGAGGGCGCCATCAAGCAGATGTACGACAACGGCTTCTGCTCCAAGGCCGCCGACGGCTCCCTGCTGCCCTGCCCCGACGCCTACGGCGCCATTATCGGCACTGCCGCCGTCTGCGGCCTGGTCGAGGTCCTCATCTCGTTCCTCCCGCCCAAGGTCATGCTCCGCATCTTCCCGCCCATCGTCACCGGCCCGACCGTCATGCTCATCGGCATGTGAGTGAGCCGTTTCTCCTTTTCTGTCAAACGCAGTCTTTCGGTGCTGATCCTTTTGCCACCCCCAGCTCCTTGATCCGTTCCGCCTTCACCAACTGGGCCGGAGGTGCTGGCTGCAGCCAGGGCGACGCTGGCCCGGCTTTTCTCAGGCTTTGTCCCGACATCAGCGCGCCCCATCCCCTGCCTTGGGGAAGCGCCGAATTCCTGGGTGAGTGCTTGTTCTAGTCACGTCGCTCTCCCTACTCGTTGCACACATCTCGACTCTGACCCGCATCCATCTGCAGGCCTCGGCTTCTCCGTCTTTATAACCATCATTCTGTGCGAGCGTTTTGGCTCGCCCATCATGAAGTCCACCTCGGTCGTGATCGGCCTCCTGACAGGCTGCATCATCGCTGCCGCCTGTGGCTACTTCAGCAATAGCGGCATCGACTCGGCCCCGGCGGTGTCCTTTGTCTGGATGCAGACCTTCAAGCTGCAGGTATACCCGCCCATTATACTACCCATCATCGCAGTCTTTATCATCTGCGCCTGCGAGGCCATTGGAGACATCACCGCTACGTGCGACGTGAGCCGTCTCGAGGTCGAGGGCAGGACGTACGAGAGCAGGATTCAGGGCGGTGGTGAGTGTGTCCCGGTGCTCCGTCACCAAATCCCCCCCTAAATTTGCACTCTAGAGGCCCAGTTCTGACTCCAACCTGCGTGGGAAAATAGTCCTGGCAGATGGTATCAACGGAATTCTGTAAGCCGCCACCAACAGACGAATAGCAGCGCAGCAGGAACGGACAGCTGACTGGCTCGGTGGTCAACACCAACAGCGCGGCCCTCATGACCATCACGCCCATGACCACCTTTGCGCAGAACAACGGTGTCATCGCTCTGACGAGGTGTGCGAACCGCAAGGCCGGTTACTTTTGCTGGTGAGTTGGTGCCACACTCGCTCTAGCGCGTTTGTGGGCATTGGATCTGACGCATCCGCAGCTTCTTCCTTGTCATCATGGGCGTCCTCGCCAAGTTTGCCGCATCGCTCGTTGCGATACCATCACCCGTCTTGGGTGGCATGAGTGGGTTTCCTTCCGCTTCCTTTCATTTTCTCGAACTGCCCATACGCCTTTGTTCATGCTCGCTAACAACCAGGTGCCTCCTGGGGAACAGCGACCTTTTTGTTCTGCTCCGTCGCCGTCTCGGGCGTCGCCATCATCGCCAAGGGTGTTCCGTTTAACAGAAGGAACCGCTTCATCCTGACTGCGGGCTTGGCTATCGGATATGGCGCCACGCTCGTGCCGACCTACTTTCACAAGGTCTTTGCGTCTACCCCGGCCAATAGAGATCTCAGGGGCCTCCTGAATGCCATTGAGCTGATCATGGAAACCGGTAAGCGCTGCGTGTGCGCCTTTCCTTCTCGGAAAGAAGAAAGCAAAAGGAAGCTGACTGGCGGAACGCGACAGGCTTCTTTGTGGCTGCCATCATCTGCATGATCCTCAACCTCGTACTACCAGAGGAGATGGAGGATACGCAAGGGCGCGTTGTCAGGGACTCGGAGACGCCGACCAACGTCCACACGGTCACGCCGGCCAAGGAAGCCGAGGGGGCCGAGAGCGGGCGAGGTGTCGATTCCGACGACATCACCCCAGCCGGGCGTGCTACGAGCAGTGATGGCGTCGAAAAGGCCAAAAGCAACTGAGTGTCCCGGATGGGGTTTGAACCGTGGGGTTTCAGTTTGTCAAGATGATGAGAGGGGCTAGGACGATATAAAAACACGAATGAGATGGTGAGTGTCCATCGTCTCTTGACTATAGTCTCTTGCCCAATGAAGATGTCATGGCCGCTCTTCTGGGTCTCGGTTGAAGAGGAACGAGCTGAGCGACTTGCAGTGCTTGGACACGCGTGCCTGCCTCTCGCCCAGGAGCTCGGTCTGGAGCTTAAGTGTGCGGGCGCCCAGCGACGGCGCCGCCGAGGCCTCGGCGTCCACGGCGTCGGCAAAGAGCCGGAGGTGCTGGTGCAGCCCGTCCATCATGTCCCTGATGAGGATGACCTGCATCAGCTGCGCCGAGGGGCCCGCGGGCCGGAAGGATCCGACCTTGAGCTCGGGCAGCGGGAAGTCCGGGTGGCGGACCCCGCCGGCCGCCACCTTGAGGCGCAGGCACGACAGCGCGTAGAGCATGATCCGGTCCAGCACGTCGAGCAGGCGCAGGTGGCACGACACCAGCTGGCCGGCCAGCGCCATGTCGACGCCGCCGCCGCCACCAGACCTTGGCGGCAGCGGCGGCGCGCCGTCATGGCCGTCGTCTAGCCCGGCGAACTCGGGCGGGAGCCCGTGGGCGTGGACGCAGTCGGGGACGGTGCAGGGGGGCTCGCCGCCGCCGCCGCCGCCGAGCGCCGCGTCGACGGCGGCCGGGTACACGTCGGTCAGGCGCTGGACGGCGGCAAAGATGCGCTCCAAGAAGCCGCGCGCCGCCAGCCGCGCCGCCACCTCGGCTAGGCGCTCGGCGATGGCGGCGTTGTCGCCGGCCGCCACGTGCATGAACGGCGGCGGCGGCAGGGCGGCGAGCGTGCCGTCCAGCTCCACCTGCAGCTCGGCTAGGGTGCGGCCGCAGGCGGCCTCGGCCTCTGCTGCCGATTGATCCCCGAATGAGCTGGCCGAACTGCCGCCGCCAGCCGTCGCCGCGACGACGTGCGGCGACTCGCTGCTGCTGCTGGCCAGCGCGGCGTCGAGCGCGAGCCAGTCCGGGACCGGGGCCACGCCGGGGAGCGAGAGCATTCCGGCAGGGTGGCCGATGTAGTAACCGCCAAAGCCACCGCTAGGAAACTCGGCGATGTCGGCCCACGGCTGCGGTTGGAGGGCGGTGGCGGCTCCTGATGGTGAAAGCGACGACGACGGGGGAGAAGGGAAAAGCGAGGCCGCGTCCACCGCCGCCGCCGCGACATGGCCGCTGGAGTGTCTCCCGATGGTGCTGAAGACGCAGGGGGCCTTCATCTTGGCGCAGCGCGTGCAGCTCGCGCTCCCCTGCTGCTTGGGGCAGCGGAGCTTCTGCGAGTGGCATCGGTCGCACGCCTGCCGCCTCCGCACAGGGCCTGCCATGGTCAGCCGGTGCCTTGCTGAGTCTATAGTGAGCTATTGGCTTTTGTTTGCTTGATATTATTCTAGTAGATCCTATGCTAAGTGTGGAAAAGAACAACGGCCTAGGGGCTCACATCAGATCATCCCTCACGATGGAGCAGCTTGGCTTGCTTATTCAGGCAGCCAAGCGCTTCGTGTCTTGGGATGGCATACTGTGCGTATATTCCCGCGCACTATATTCATTCCTTGCCCCTTTTTACCTACCGGCTGGCTGCTGAACGATAAATCGACAGCATAGGAAAGGCGCAAGGGAAGGATGATAAAATGGAAATACCGGAAATATAACGATTTTTATTACAATTTACATTGTTGACCATCTTTCAACATACGAATGCAAGCCTTGTGTTTGTTCCCACACGTCAATTGAACCACTGAAAGAAAAAACGCTTGCGCAACCCGCGGGTATCTTGGAGAGCGGACGCGACTATCCTCTATCGGGCCACGAAGGATTTGGGCCATCTCTCAGGAATCGGTGTCAGATTTCGCTTGGCCAACCCGCCGGCGTTTGGAGGGCGGTACACAACCTGTCATGGCTAAATGCAGCCCACAGGACAAAAAAGTGCAGAACCAGCAGGATGAGGCTGACCCGCCAGTCCCAGCGCCACAGCGATGCTACCCGGCGGGTGTCTGGCCTACTGGGCAAACCCGCCCTGGTGAGCAGCCTCCTCGGGTACGGCCCGGTCTCGCTGACGGTAGCAGGGATGGCGAGGTCCATCCCAGCTACAACTACCAGGAATGCCCCGATTCCGGGGTTGACGACATATGGCCAGCACGGCCGTGTCAAGGACGCTATCTTGATGACAAACAGAGCCAGGCGGGCCGACGAGACAACCGGGGCGGCGTTTCGCGCGAGAAATAGGGATAGGTTGTGATGCGCCACCACCACTTGGTGTCTTGCATGTTCTAGCGGCGTGGTGGGAGGTGGCATGAGCAGCGGAATGGGCCCGGGGGGCGCGGGAGATGTCCTGCCGCGGCCGCTGGGAGACGGCGACCGACGCTCCAAGCTTTCGTGCCCGTGCGACGTTACCAATGGGGGAGGTCGGTGTCGGGGCGTCGACGGCGTTGGGTTTGGGTGTTTCTGGATGCTGTTTAGCGGTGTCGGCTGCGGCGAGAGCGAGCTGTCTGCCTCGGCTGGAACAGCTGCCGGGGTGGCCGTAATCTCCTCACGTGTGGGGGGTGGACGGGCAAACGAGGACTGCTTCGCAGGGTCTTCTCTCGCTCAACGGTTTAGCAGGATGCACACCACCAGCATACATAAGAGCAGTTGTCGTGAGCCACAGTGACATCACACCACCGATCACACCAGCAGGTGGGACTTACCGTTGACGGGCGTCGAAGGGGGGTGGGGTGAGTCGAGGCTCTGAATCCGCCTCCCCGAGAGACCGATCGACGAGGGGCTGCCGCTCCTCTGGCGTCTTGGCACGCTGTCCAAGGCCGACTCGTTCTTCATGATGCTCAGAACCTCGGGTGCGCTCGGTCGCTCATTGGGGCTGATGGATAGCAGCCTCTTAAGCAGGCTGTACAGTTTGGACGGCAGATCTGGGCGCTCGCGCCTTTCGTCCTGGAACCCTTTCCAGTCTGCAATCTCGGCTCGAAGAAGCTCGACGTCCTCCAGCTCTTCCTGCAGCGTGTTGGCACTGTGGTACGGCAGGCGACCAAAACAGAGGAAGTACAGGATCATTCCAAGCGAGAAGATATCCGATTTGGTCGTAAAGTTTCCATAACGCCCCATCGAATCCTTGACGAGCACTTCGGGAGCACAGTACGAAATGGTGCCGGTGGACCCCGTCGAGCTCCTCATTGCTCTTTCCTGCTGCACCTCGCCAAAGTCACTGATTAGACATATCATGGTCTTGCCCTGGCGGTGCAGCAGGCAGTTGCTTGGCTTCAGGTCCCGGTGGATGTAGTTGTTGTCGTGCAGGTGGACAAGGCCTGAGGTGATGTCCTTGAATATCGAATAGATCTCCTCCAGGGGGAGGCGGCGGTGGGTGGGCGACGTCACCGGGGTCCTCTCGGCTTGGCCTTTGGACCGACGGCGGATCCGCTCCTTGAGCTGTTCATTGGTGACCTCCTTGGGCAGCGCGCCCACGACGTACCGGAGCAGGTCGCCGCCGTTGCAGTACTGCTGGAGGATAAAAGCACAGGCCACACTAGGGCCAAACCGGTTGAGCTTCACCTCCTCGAGCCAGACGTGGCGGTAGGCGACGAGATTTGGATGGGTCAGGGAGGCCAGCAGCTCTACCTCGACGAGGACCTTCTCGAGCCAGGCGTGGTCGTCGCCCACGGGGACGCGCTTGCAGGCGTAGTGGCCGAGCTGGACGCCATCAAGCTGGTGGCGGACGAGGAGAACGACGCCCTTGCCGCCCCTGCCCAGCTCGTGCTCTTCGACAAAGAAGTCGCGGAAGTAGTTTGGGCTGAAGGCGCTCTTGCGGATGCGGGCGCCCTCCTGGATGGCGGGCTCGCTCGAAACGAACTCGGGGTCGGGCGCAGTCTCGACGTGGGGGACCCGGTGGACGAGGCGGCGCACGGGGCTCGAAGGCGGGCGGTCCGGGCGGGCGGGCTCGTCTGGGCGGCGGGCGTGGTGCGGCCTGTCGTGCTGGCCGCCAGGTTGCAACAGGCGGAAGTATCCGGGGCTAACGAAAGAGTCGTGAGCGGGTGGGGCGTCGTACTGGCGGTCGGCGGGCGACGTGTTGAGTGGTCGATGGCAGGTGGGACAGTCGGTCACCCTCTGGATCTCAAGGCGACTCGAGGTGCGGTCGCGGACGACAAGAGCATTGTTATAGCGACTGCCAAAGGCAACATCGCGCTGCATGTCAGCGCTCGGAGCGCAGCGAGCGGGGGCAGGGACAAGGTCTGGGGCGCGGGGCTCCTACAGTACGATCTCGCGATCTTCGCGGGGATGATACGGGACCAGAGACATGGCAGCGCATTCACTCCTGGGGCGCGCGTGGCGAGGGGATTCGGGGTGGGCAGTTTTCGGATGGGAGGATGGCTGAGGGGAGTTGGATGGTGCAACAAAGGAGGGAGTCGGGGACCAAGGGAGAACCAAGGGAGAACGGTATGGCACGTTTAAGCAGCAACGTCACTGTTGTTGCTCGCGAATCCGTGCGGCTGCAGAGGCGCGCATTGATGCGCCATCGTCGTCTGGCCAGGTATGCAGCCCGGCGTGGTTTGTGGCAAGCGACGGCGGCCACAAGGGAGGAGTCGACAGAAGCCGATGGAGGTGGTGTGGTGTGGGTACACGGCGAAAGTCGTGCGCACAACGGCTCGCCCTGGTGGCGGGATCAATATTGTGATGCGACTCGGTAACAAAGTGAGGCACAGTTGGTGCTGACTTCCAGCGGGTTCGGTGTGTGACCTCACCATGATGGCGCTCGGGAAGCTGCTAGCATTGAATCGGGGTGGAGCACGCGCCTTGCACAGCGAACCTGCACAGCGAACCTGCATGGCGGTGGAGCATCGCTCAATTGCCTGCAGCTAGCCCCAATCGCGATCCGATCAAATCGCGGGAACGGGAATTGAACCCTCTTGATCCCATTGTTTGGGTTCGAGTTCCGTGGTCCTCTTTGAGTGGATCGGTGGCTCCTTCCGTCCGTCTTTCAGATCCCAGAGCGGCAATAATGAAATCAATAAATTCCAACCAACGAATCCATCGATTCGTCACTTTGACAAAAGACTTCATAGCCAATAGACGCTTTGCTCAACGCAACCCTGAATCCGGGCTTTTGTCTCTGCACACTATTGTTTTACAGCGACAGTTTCGGGTATTTATACCGGTTAGCAGGGTTACCCTGGACATCATCAACTGGCCCATTCCCCAAACGCACCAGATCAAGAGCGCAACGGACGACGGCTAGAAGTCGAAACTAGGGATTCCTCTAAACGTCTAACATAGGTCAGAAAACCAGGCAGGATCTCCCTTGTTGACAAACGACAAACTAGCAACGGTGCTCCCGATGCTCCCTCCAGCAAGGACCCCTCCAATGAACCCTCACCACCTCTTGCTGGCGAGCCTCTTGCTGGCGAGCCTCTTGCTGGCGGACCTCTTGCTGGCGGGCCTCTTGCTGGCGGGCCTCTTGCTGGCGGGCCTCTTGCTGGCGAGCCTCTTGCTGGCGGGCCTCCTGGCGGGCCTCCTGGCGAGCCTCTTGCTCGCGAAGTAACTGCTCCAGGAGCGAGAGAGGCTGCGAACATTCGCACTGGTGTTGCATCTTGCCATTCTTAAAATCTGGAAGAATCTCCCGCTTAAACCAGTCCAGACGGTGCCTATTTAGGCCCATGGTAAAGACACACCAGTAACAGCCGTGGGGGCCCCCCAGCAAGAGGTCCTCCAGCAAGAAGCCCGCCAACAAGAGCTCCGCTAGGCGGAGCAGGCAACTAGGACTTTGAGCAAGGTCCCTAGCCGCACAAACAAGCACAGTGTCGGTGCGTCGACAGGTGAGTAAAAGGGGCTCGTCATCCCAACCCAGGATACAAGCGTATCCTTGGCATTTACACCAGGTAAATAAATCTTGTCCAGCATTGAAAAAAATATGCAATGATACGATGCACACAAGTGACCCTCATCGACAGAGTCCGAGTATGCTGCTCACAGACCACGCCATCTTGCGGCAAGCGCCGCCTTAATGTTTCTTCCTAGTCAGCCCCCTTGACTCATCAACAGCACCGCATCCTGGGTCCAGTTCGTCTTCGCAACCTGCTGGACTCCGCCTCGAGGCTGGACTGGTTCGCGTTTTGTCAGCCTCCCCGGGCCGAAGGCAGGTTGCCCGCCGAGGCTGCCGAATATATCGCCAATGTAGCTACAGTCGAGTCAGATGACGTTCAACCAGAGCGGATGGGGCGTGCCGAGCGGAAGCGCGGCTAGGATGTGCTCTCACTTATTTGGCTTGACTCCTTCCTTGAATTTGCTGTCCCAGGCGTCAATGATCCCCTTGGCGATCTAGATGCCGGCTTGGAAGAGGTTGTCGATGGAAGCCATTTTGATGGAGGACACGGCCGGTCCAAAGCATCCTTGCTCAAGGCGATGCGGTTTAGGGCACCCACGGGGTGACGCCAGAGCCCGGCTGAAATCGACCAGCTTCTCGATGTGCATCCTCACAAGAACGTCTAGGACCGCACTATCCTCCTGGGCCGTCATACGACTGGGAACAGCACATGCACACACGCCGTCAGCACGAGGTGGAAAGAGCATATTTTGTAAGGGCAGCGGGAGACTAGATTCGGCGGTCTACTGGATGCCCGACCCGTTGGTCCAGATCTGAGTTGTTGTCAAGCGGCCTCGCTCAGCAGCTCCTCGGAGTAGTAAACGTCCGACGTGGCCGCGTCGCACCGCTCAAACCCCTGGCAGCCCCGTCGCCTTCTCGAACTTGGCCCCGCGCGCCGCGTACCTGGCCCGGTAGGCGGCCACATCCACGCGATCCGACAGGGCGGCGCGCAGCGCGAGGCCGCGTATCGCGTCAGCGCGACCGACCCGTGGTGGCGCGCTTGGGGCTAACGCCGGCGATTCCCGCCGTCAGGAAGTAGGTCCCGGTGAGGTCGAAGCGGGGCGAGAGGGTCAGGGCGGGCATGGTGCTGGCCTCACCCATGCTATCATCACCTGGGAGACTGAGTGGTCGGCGAGGTAGTGGACGTGCGGGTAGATCATGGACAGACCCGGCGACGATATGTTGACAGCCATGAGGCCCCCAAGGCCACTACCTGGCATGTTTTTGCACCACACGTTGGCTTCGTCGGCAAACTGGGCAAGGTGGGTATCCGGGCGTTAAGATGGTAAGGCAACCCCTCCAGGGTTGAAGTGCAGACTAAGGTTGTCTTGCCAAGCTGATTACAAAGACCTTGGGTGCGATTCTACCATGGTCCTTGCGCTGGACAATAGCAGAGACTGCGAACGAGCACCATGTCAGCAAGCAGGTGGCTGCCAGATAATGGGAGCACATTTTTCAACAAAAACATGCAACAAAGGAGTTGAGTGGAGAGGCTCCTTTCTCAGAGAAGCATCTAAGGGACGCCCGTAAAATTGCACAAGTGCCTGAAATCGGGGATGCGGCTCAATGTGTCATTTATACGGACCCTATTGGGAGCCAAGCACCCCATCCATCGGGCCCCAAGCCCGCGAATAAAGGGGTTTGACTTGCGTGGGCTTCTTCCTGCAGCACATCTCACCATCTCGCCTTTTCTCAGACAAGGAAGCCCGGTCACCCTGGGGGACCTCCCCCATCACGCCCAGCAAAGTAATCGCCGTGGATGCGTGGATAAGCCGACAACAGGGGACAAAGGGACGTCTTCCTCCCAGTCTGACCGCCACGAACAAGACATTGAGGGAAGAGGGGGGCTTTCGACATTCCACGGCGTCACACAAACTAACAGCGAAAACGAACATTCCATGAAAAAACCCCGCGGCGACCCCCGTTACGCCCGAACGCCGCCTTTCCAACCAGCCCCCAATCATCAAGGTCACTCTCGCCCTCCTCGGGTAGTCTCGCAATCTCTGGTGCTATAGGATGTGTCCGCTGGTAGAGCATATGATACGGCTGGCACAGGGCCCTCATATCAAAGCACTCTTGACACATGTAGAAATCCCCCTCGCCACAGGTGAAGCACTCGTAACGCACTTGGCCCGCCGCCACATTGAAAGTGCACACGTGGCAGAATCCGCAGCTGGCCGGCCCAAGCGGCAATCTCGATTGCGATCCCCCTCGCCGTGCCCTAGATTCTCGGCCGGCTCGATGAGGTGGACGCTCTTGCGTGCGGCCTCCCGCTTTAGAACATTGACCAGATCGCGAGACCCGTTCCTGCGAGCCCAGCACAAAAGCGACCGGCCCAGGCTATCCTCGAAGTCGAACTGCCCTTGGACAGTGGCGAGGAGCCTTTTGGCCATCGGCACGTGGCCGCCGACGATGGCCATGGCCAATACAGATAGTCCGTGCATGTCTCGTTGGAGCGCGTCTAGGACTCCTCCATTCCCCAGGACCAAATCCATCCCGACCTCGCTCCCCGTACGGGCGCACCAGTGGAGGATGCTCCGCCCATCCGAGTCTAGCCGCGCCGGGTCCGCTCCTGATTCAAGTAGGAGCTTCAGGGTTCTCAAATTTCCCGAGATTGTGGCCATATGGGTGAGGGACTTGTGCGGTTCAGAAATTGCATCGAAATCCGGCCTATCCGCAACAAGGACTTGGAGGCACCCTGTGTTGTTGGCTTGGCAAGCAATATGCAGTGCAGTAGTGCCATCATTGCTGCGGGCATTGACATCCGCCCCATGCCCCAGAAGCACTGACAGACATTCCTCTTGGTCGTGTTCCGATGCGGCATGGAGGGCTGACTTGCCATCGATGTCCTTGGCGCCGATGTTTGCACCGTAGGCCAGAAGAGTTTTGAGATTCTCAACTTTTCCTTCGGCTGCTGCGGCATGCAGTGCAGCAGCCCCACTGTTGTTGCTGGTATTGATGTCTATCCCATGTTTCCGTAAGAGTGAAAGGTGGTTGGGGTGCGACATGGAGGCTGCCAGGTGGAGAGCCGTCTGACCGAAGTTATCTGCGGCCGTAACGTCGGCGTCGCGAGACGGCAGGGCTTCGAAACACTCGGTGTCTTCGTCGGAGGAAGCAGCGAAGATCAATGCTGTCATGCCTTGATTCTCTTTGGCCTCGATATCGGCCCCATTTTCCGGCAGAAGCGGGATGCATTGCGCATGCCCCAGAGCGGAGCATAAATGAAGTGCGGTCCAGCCATCAGAATCCCTGGCTGCAACATCCGCTCCCGCTTCGACCAAGGCCTTTAAACAATCGACATGCCCGTTCCGGGAAGCAAACATGGCTGCCGTCCAATCACCCCTGCCTTTGGCATTGACATCGGCCCCGGCCCTAATCAGCACCATAAGGCATTCGATCTGCCCTTCTTCGCAAGCAAGTTGAACTGCAGTCGCACCACCAGGGATCTGGACGCTCACGCCTGCTCCGTGCTTAGGCAGGGGCTTGGGGGGTTCGGCGCATCCAGAGGTCGAAGCAATACGGATTGCCGTCCAGTCAAGCAAAACCTTCAAGCAGTCGACATATCCAGACATAGAAGCATGATGAATTGGCATCAAGTCGTCGCCATCCTCTGCCGTCGCATCAGCTCCGCGCTCGAGCAAAAGCTTCAAGCAGTCGATATGGCCCTTAGCAGCAGCAGCATGTGCAGCAGTGGGAGCCCTGTTTGTTGCGCTCCCCAAGTCGACCCCCCGATCTAGGAGGAACTCCAGACAGGCCAGGCTGCCCACTAGAGCAGCCATATAGAGAGGAGTGTGGCCTTGGTTGCTTTTGCTGTTCAAATCAGCGCCTTGGTTCGACAGGAGCTTCAGCACACCCAGGCCACCCGATGCGCGCTTGACAGCGAGATGAGCCGGCCGGAGCCCTTGATTATCCTCGGAATCGACACTGGGATTGTATCCCAACAGCCGCTTGACGACTGCGAACTCGCCAGATAACACGGCCATCATCAATGGCGTGCAGCCGTTGCGGTCTTTGTATCCGATGCCTGCTCCGTTGTCTAGCAAAAGAGCAACGACGTCCTCCTTGGTCCCTCTGCATGCCACATGCAGTGGTGTCGCCCAATCATTGTCCAGCGCGTTTATGTGGGCGTGATGGTCAATGAGAAGTTGGAGAATACGCACGTTGCCACCCTTGGCAGAGACAACATGCAGCGCTGTTCGGCCATGTTCGTCTGCAGTGGTAGCAGGAGTCTTCACTTGGGATAGCATGTAATCGACGGGCTCAAACCCGGCGTCGCAGGCAACGAAGAGCGCGTGACAGGCTGGGTCCTGGGGGCTCGATTCGGCCGACGGGATGTGTCGCCGGAGAGAACTCCATGTGGCCCGCCGTGGATCGATTAGACTGTTGATCATTCTAGCAAGAGTGGGGTGCATGGGAGCCGCATTAGGACGCCGGGGGCAGGGCTTCAGCGCTTCGATGGCAATGGAAACGAATACCCGCGGAACTGTCACCTCTCCCAACAGGAGTCCCTTGTCCAATGCATGTCCCATGCCGAGATAGCGAAGACGCTGGATAGCAAGGTGCCTCTCGTGTGCAACGTGGCGCATCGCGAGCCTTTGATCAATTGGGCGCAGCCCGTCTTCAACTGGTAGCCGGTCTATGAGGTACTGCCGGACCGAGCGGTGTACGATGTGGACCGTTGAGGAACGAGCGTCGGGCTCCGGAGCTCGCTTCTGTGGGCGAAGCTCAACCAGTGACTCGTATAAGCCCACAATGTCGTCCGAGATATAGGGCTCATCCATGTTGTTGGGTAAGTCGTCGTCGTAGAGACCCTCGACATCGTTGTCGGGGATGGTCAAAGCTTCAATCAGCTCAAGGACAGTGAGCGGACGAGGTGTGAAGGCAACCTATCGCAAGATCGAAAAGGCTCTCTTTCCGCCGTCTGCACGAGGGGTTGTTTTGTTCCGACTGTTGTCATATATATGGTCGAGGCCTGTAGGGGTCTGTTCAATAGCCCGTACGAGCGCGCTCTCGCTCTTTGTTCCCGAAAGGTACTCTCCAAGCATTATCATCCAGAGGAACATGCCTTCAGACTTTGCAACTATCCGTTCGGCAAGTCTACACCGTTCCTCGTCGGTTCTTCGGGGGAGTTTTTTATCGACAATCTCATGTGCCAAGGCCCTTGCGTCTGTGTTGACATCGTTTGGTAAGATGGAATACGCAATGCTTGCGATGTCCTCGGAAAGGACAAGTTGGGAGTTGAATGCGCGCGTAAGATAGTTTTCCTTGCGACTGACGAGTAGAATGCGGGTTTTGGTGCGAGATGCAGCCTCGGCGATAGCAAGGAAGAATCCGACGGCCGAATCTCGGTCATGTATGTCGTCGAAGCGCTCTGCACCGCTAGTCCACCTACACTCGTCAAGGCCATCCACGACAAGCGTGCAGCCATCGAGGCGGCGTAGGACGTGTCTCAGCACTTTCACAGTCACATCTTGACTAGCGCGCGGCGGAGCCCTTGCATCCCAACACTCGCTGGCAGCGTCCAGGGCCTCGGGGCTTTGCGTGATCAACTGGAACAGCCATGACTTGATGACTGTGAAGGGCTTATCCAGGCTGCCAGAGTCGGCAGACACGAAGTAGTGGGCGACAAGGTGCTTGTCGGGACCGCCCGATAGACGTTGGATCAGTTTGGCGCAAAGCACGGACTTGCCGTAGCCAGCAGGGCCGTTGATCCACAAAACCTTGGGCGAATCGTGCCGGAAATCTTTCGAGAGCCATTTGATGGTGAATTCGCGCTCGAGGATCCATTCGCAGGTGTTGTGAAGCCTCTTGCGAAGATGTCTGTCGTAGATCATGGTGCTCCAAGGTGCCTCGAGCCATGTCTTCACCACGTTCCGAAACTGGGCTGCGAGACCCGAACAAATGGTTAGCGGAGCAATTGGGCGAGGTGAGTGATTAGGTCGCTGATACCCTCAAGGTGGTACTTGACTCGGGTCTACCTCCGGACGGCCCAGTCCACCTTGGCAAACGTGGAGAGGTTACGCACCCAGGTCACTGGCAAAGCGGAAAGGTCAGTTAGTACTCTGCGCAGCGGCCTTGGCTCCTGCTCGCCCCTCAACGGAGCCTCGAGCAAGCGTTCAAGATTGCTACACAGATCCCTGATATCCCTGAGGGCGGCAAAAACTACGCGGGCAATCTCTGGGTCATCGAGGGACGGGTGATGATCGGGCAGCAAGATGTCCCCTTGAATGCCGATCTCGTGGCTCCATATCTCGAGCAGGTGTTTGTCGAGTTTGAACTGAACCGCGCCGGAGCGAGCAGTGGTGTCGGAGTCAAGGAGGCAGTCGATCTTCTCGACAAGGTCCCTCACGGCGCTAAAGAGACCTGCGACGCCGAGGACGCCAAACACCGTCCCGGCCACCTCCATGGCGCGGACTGGTTGAGACCAGGCTGCGGCGGCGGGTTGACTTTCGTAGAAGTAGGCGAGAGTAGGTTTGGGGGTTGATTGGTTTGAATCAGACTGACGGCTTTGGTAACCCGTGTCAGTACATTGCCACCATGGTGGGAATGATGGCAACGGCGAGGTGGCATGGAAAGACACAAGAAAGTGGACGAGAGACACGGGCAAACGAATTATCTTCCAGCCATCGTAGCACCCCGAGCGTGTCGTTTGCTGTGTTACACGAAGGTCCCCTTGTGTCACGTTGGGAAGCAGCACAGGTAGAACCAGCCACATGCGGCTGAAGGTCAGGTATCTTCCGCTTGGGCTGCTCGGCACTACCTGGTGTAACAATCAGGTCAGGGGTGTCTACCCCCAAGATAGAGAGGTATATTGGCATTTCGACTTGATGCAGGCGATTTGAGGCGAGGGACGGAGTGCTAGTGCACCGTCTTTGCGCCTTGCCTCATTCCCGGCTGAAGATCTGGGACGAGTCAGAGCTTAGTCTCCATTTTGCGGTGTGCAATTGGCCACCACCAGGAATGAGGAGGAGGACAAGTGCGAGGCTGGTCTAGGCTAGGTGATATTACCCACCTGCTCATTGCCTCTCACTTCTTCACACGCCAAGTATCACTAATCTTGGCGTCGCTTTGCACCCATCGTCTTGGCAGTCGGGTGGTACCGCGCACCTTGCTTGATTCCACCAGTTTGCGACCCAACACAACAGCTCACCGCTCAGCCTCTCAAGTTATGAGACATGGCGATGGACGCGTCGAAAATGCCTCTTTCCCAGCGGGTGTTCTCAGGCGCCTCCAAGGGCTGTTGCCCCCTCTGACATTCATCACATGTCACTACGCCTATTTTGTAGGCATGTGCCTTGTATTCTCGCTCATCTTCTGGGGCTCTTCGAGCGCGGTTTTTCCCGTCGGCTATGTCGATAGCCTCTTCCTCGTGGTCTCGGCCATGACCGGTACTGGCCTGAACACGGTAAATCTCAGCCATCTCAATACGTGGCAGCAGATCATGCTGTTTCTGCTCATCATGTTTGGCGGCCCCATCTGGGTCTCCGTTTGGACATTTCTGGCCCGCAAGCGCGCGTTCGAGCGGCGCTTCAACGACGTCGTCCGTGCCGCTGGAGAGCGCACCAAGAGTCCGTGCCACAGTGCCACCTCCCCCGTGGCCGCCGCCGTCGGCTACCTGCTGTTGCCCGTCGTGCCCTGGTCCAGATCTCAGTCTTCCCGTCCCACTGTCAAGGGCCCCCAGGCCGGCTGCGCGGGCGACGGCGCCCGGCGGCCGCGTTCGACGAACGGGGCCAATAAGCCCCAATTTGACGCAGCCGTGGGCCTGGGGCCTGAGACGGGAGGCCTCGCGGTCGGTGATGACGTCGCCCTCGAAACACACACGCCCCCAGGGGCGGCGGCCAACGAGGGTCGCATAACATTCGCCGACGTGGTCAATAACGTCCCCTTGCGCAAGAGGCCTCCTCACAGGACAAGTGCGGACCCTGGCGCGCCGTCGGACAAGGCAGAAGGAAAACTGCCACGGGCCAGAGAAAGCGGCAACGGCGGTGTACGCGAGTTCCTGGATACGATACCGGTGGGGTGCAACGGGCAGTTCCACGACCTCAGCAGCGAGGAGCGGGAGCAGCCGGGCGGGACCGAGTATCGCGCCCTCAAAGTGCTCGCAACCGTGGTGCCGCTGTACTTTGCGCTGTGGCAGCTGGCGGGGTGCCTCGCCCTGGGGGCCTGGATGGCCGTCAACATGCCGGACGTGGCGCTCGCCAACGGCATCGATCCGTGGTGGCTCAGCATCTTCAACGGGGTTTCCGCCTTCAACAACTCGGGCATGTCCCTGCTCGATGCCAACATGATCCCGTTCGGGCAGGCCGCCTTTGTCCTGGTCACCATGGCGCTGCTGATCCTGGCGGGGAATACGGCGTATCCCGTCTTCCTGCGCCTCATCTTTTGGGCCTGGCTCAAGCTGCTGAAGCTGGCGACCGGCGAAGGCGCGCTGGTAGACTTCAAGGCCACGCTGGAGTTCATCCTCAGATATCCGCGTCGGGTTTACACGAACATGTTCCCGTCTCGCCCGACCTGGTGGCTGCTTTTCATGGTTGTGCTGCTCAACTCGATCGACTGGGCCGCCTTTGAGCTGCTGAATTTGGGAAACCCCGTCATCGAGAGCATTCCCAAGGGCGCACGCGTGCTGGGTGGCCTGCTCCAAGCGGCCGTCGTTCGCTCAGGCGGCTTCTCCGTGGTGCCCATCGCCAAAGTCTCCATTGGACTTCTCAGCGTGGGTTTCTAGGCCTGAGAGGGAGTGGGTGGGGTTGCCGACGAAATTCGTGGGGATGGGGGGTGGGGGATGGAGTTGACTTGATGGCGCACTGAGAAAAGAGGGATGAAGACAAGAATAAATCTGGTTGCCAACATAGATCATGTCTTACATGTTACATCATGCCTCTAAAGGCTCCACAAATGGCTGAATTCTGGTCGACGGGAGCGCACGGATGCCGCCGGCACGACACGCTAAAGAGACGCGACAGCCAGTGATGTGCAACGCTATTAAATTTCTACAAGGGTCCCCGCGTCGCACTTTACGCGCAGCACTCCACCCCGTCGCGTCCACCATGGGGCTGAATTTGGCGTCCCCGCGAATATTTGAGCGCCTGCTCGCTCCAGAGAGCTGCGTTTCCTGGAATCTCTCTCCCTCACAACCACCAATTGTCTCGAAAACGCATCCAATTTCGATACTGTGGCCCATTCTATACATTTGATAGAAGCAATTGATCGATTCTTTCTGGACATATACATTCAACCGTTAAAAGCCCAGACATCTATCTATCTCATCGAATCACACGTCTTCCAAACCACCTCCATCGTCACAATCGTTACTGCCACCACCACCAAAACCATGGCCATCCTCAAGCGCAAGCGATCTGAGTCGGAGCTCTCGTTCAGCAGCCAGCTCTCGTCACCACCACGCCCCAACGACTCGTTCTTCTGCCAAACCGCAGGAGTCAACCTCTTCCCCTCGGCACGCTCCCCAGCCTCCTCCAATTCCTGTGGTCGGACCATGAAGCGCTTCCGGGACAACCGACCTTCAGAAGATGAGATCCACCGCAACACCCTGGACCTCCTGTACTCGGCCCAGCGTCAGAGCCCCCAGCCAGAGTCGCCCCTGCCGACCCAGTGCCAGTCAAGACAGCAACCATCCGCCGCCTCCACCGCCGCCTCCCGCCAGACCTCCCTACACAGCTTCTGGAAGCTCCCCAAGCAGAGCCAGGCCGCACAAGCACTGCCGCCAACGTCGCCACAAACCATCCCCAGCGACTGCGCTACTGGCTGCGAGGACTGCGGAAGGGAGCTGCGGGCCGATGACAGCGATGCTATGGAGATTGATGGTGACGCTCGCTGCGGCTGCAGCAGCTGCGGGAAGACGGTCTGCTTCTCCTGCTCCGTGAGCAACCTCGGCGCCAACCGGGAATGTCTGGCCTGCGCTGGGCGGGCTGCTGGCCCGAGTCGCTGGGGCAACGGCCTGCATTTTGGTTAAGATGAAAAGTGCTCGAATATCTCCACTATCGTAATGTTTGTGCTTATTATTTGTTGCTATTTGCTAGCTTGGGCGTTATGTGTATAGTTGTATCATGAGTGTCAGCATATTACCAAAAGCGTGTTCTGCGAGTGTTTTGGCCTACTTTTGTTTCTGGAATTCTAGAGCATCGGGCGTGTGTACTTTTGGGAAGTCAAGTCCCATATCAATGGCGCAAGCAAATACCCTATCCCCGTATCACTACGGAAATACCAATATTACTAGTAATCATGGTTTCTGGTTGCCAGGAGGTGAAGTGAAGCCAAGGCACATTTTCATTAGGTTGTGTCTGGACGCACTGATATCGTGCGCAAGTGGGGACCTGTCCTGCTAGGCTCCAGCGCCTCAGCCGAGACTTAACGCCTAAATCCGCGAGCTGACACCTGACTTCGCGTTTGTTCTCTGGGCGCGTAAACATGGTCAATCCGCGGTACATTTCGATATCAGCATCCTAGCCGAATGACGACTCCCATGCACTCGTGACATTCTCTAGAAATGGCCGAGGCCGAGGACACAGGAAATGGCGCTGTCACTAGCGGTGGCGAGGGGCAGCACGACACACTGAAATACTCGCTTCTCGGGCCTTCTCTGCTCAAGGCCGGCCAGGACTCTGTCGATCAGTCCAAGGTATTGAGACTTCTAGGCTTACTCGGATATTCGAGCTTTGTTCTCAGACCTGTGGCTGACCACTCTGTGCAGATATCTGAAATCATCTACAATGCGTCCAAGGGGTCCAAGTATTTCGCTCGTGAGGCGGAGCGGGACCAGATCCTGACGGAGAAGATCGAACGCATCAACCAGAAGAAGGTGCACCTAGACACACTAGACCTGTCACGGGATGTCCGAGTCGCCGATTCCTGGATCGCAGAGCGCGAGCTGTGCCGGGACCTGAGCCAGTACATTGTCCACGTCGACGCCGACGCATTTTACGCCGCCTGCGAGCTGCTGGATCGGCCCGAGCTGGCCGACGTGCCCTTCGCCGTGGGCGGCGGCGTCCTGACGACGTGCAACTATGTCGCCCGCAAGTTCGGCATCCGCTCGGGCATGGCCGGCTTCGTCGCCAAGAAGATATGCCCGGAGCTGGTGCTCTTGAAGCTCAACTTTGACAAGTACAACGCCAAGGCCGCCGAGGTGCGCGAGGTGCTGGCCGAGTACGACGCCCGGTTCGAGAGCGCGAGCATCGACGAGGCCTACCTCAACATCACGCAGTATTGCGCGGACCACGGCATGGGCCCAGCCGATGTCGTGCAGCAGATGCGCGCCGAGGTCCACCGGCGGACCAGCATCACCGTCTCGGCCGGCATCGCGGCCAACGCGAAGCTGGCCAAGATCTGCTCAAACATGAACAAGCCCAACGGCCAGTTCGTCCTCCCCAACGAGCGCCCGGCCATCATGGAATTCATGGGCAGCCTCCCTTGCCGCAAGGTCAACGGCATCGGCAGAGTGCTGGAGCGGGAGCTCGCAGCCATCGGCGTCGTTACCTGTGGCGACGTCTACCCGGAGCGCAAGTACCTGACCAAGCTCTTTGGCGAGAAGGCCTTCAGGTTCCTGGTCGACTGCTACCTCGGGCTTGGCAGGACCATCATCCGGCCCGCCGAGGAGTACGAACGGAAAAGCGTCGGCACGGAGAGCACCTTCTCCGATATCAGCGGCGGCCAGAAGCTTCGGGAGAAGATGCGGTGGACCGCCGGGGAGCTCGAGAAGGACATGAAAAAGGCCGAATGCAGGGGGCGGACCCTGGTCTTGAAGGTCAAGCTCGCCACGTTCGAGGTTCTCACCCGGCAGGTCATCCTCCCGAGATCCATCCAGCTTGCCGACGACCTCTACAAGTTTGCGCTGCCGATGCTCGCCAAGCTGGAGAAGGAGTTTCCCCGCCTCACCTGTCGCCTCCTCGGGCTGCGCTGCACCAACCTTGTCAGCACCAAAAAGCCAGACACCATGTCATTCTTCGGCCTCAAACCAAATCGAGCCGATTCCGCCCATGGAGAGCGGCAGCACAGCCCCTCTGGCCCGGGCGGCTTCGGCGATGCCTCTCTGGTCGGGGACGACGGCTGGGAGCAATGGCCTGCCGAGGAACTTGATACGCCTGACCCAGATCAGCAGAGGCCGGAGCTACAAGAGGCGAGCCCGTCTCGCAGGCACGGAAAAGAGATAGCCCCAAACCCCACACCAGCACTCAAACAGCCTCCACCCGCGGAGGAGTGGTGGGACTGTCCGATATGTGGCCGTCCGCAGAGCCCGAACGACAAAGAGTTCAACGAGCATATCGATGCGTGTTTGTCGAGACAAGCAATACGAGACACGGTCCAACAAGAGACGCGAGAACGGTCCGCAAGCGAGGTCCCGGCGCCGGAGCCCAAACGTGCCAAGTCTCTCACCGAACGGAAACGCACAAGAGGCGGCTCGGCTGACCCGAGGCAGAAGCGCCTATGTTTTGGATGAATGATATTACTATTGTACACCAACTCGACCCTTCTTCATACACACCTCGGGCATTCTAGGCTCCCTCTTCGTCTACAAATTTGCTGTCCAGTGTTGGGCGCAAGGAAAACGGGAACCCACTCTCACAGAATCTTGACCACCAGCGCTCCCAATCCGCCCTTTTGCGAGTGCACCTTGGAGAGCTCGGACCGCATGGCCGTGACGTCGTCGAAGCTCACGACCGACTTGACGGCCTTGATTTTGCCACGCCCGATGAGCTCGACGCTCTTCTCAAAGTCCTCGCGGACTGCGGGGTTCCCAGAAATGAAAAGCCTCTGGATGTTGGTGCCCCTCATCTTCCAGTCGTACCACCACTGGCAAACCGTCAGGACGACGACCAGGAAAAGCGGTATCTTCCCGACGGCGTCGCGCATCCCGTCCGGGTGGGGGATGCTCGCGATGGTGACGACGACGCCCGTCTTGGGCTTCAGGAGCTGGAACGTGCTCTCCAGGGTCCACTGCGTGTTGTACACAAAGTCCACGGTCCCCCGCCCGACCTCCTTTGCGACGTCCTGCGTCCTGTAGTCGATGACCTGGTCGACGACGCCCGGCCCCAGGTGCTGCTCCACGATGGGCACCTTGGGCGTCGAGACGGTGCTGATGACCTTTGTGGCGCCGTAGACGTTCTTGGCCATCTGCACGCCGACGCTGCCCGTGAACGACAGGGCCCCCGGGATGAAGACGGTCTTGCCCTCGAGCGACGCGCCGGCCGGCAGGCCCATGAGGCCGTGGACGCCCCTGCTGAAGGACTGGTAGGCCACGACGGTGGCGCCCGTCAGGCACGCGGCGTCCTCGAAGCCGACGCCCGGCGGCTTGCGCGCCAGCAGCGCCTCGGGCGCCACCGCGTACTCGGCGATCCAGCCGCCGTACTGGTGCGGGAACACGGGCCGCGTGTAGCGGCCGCCCATGACCTCGTCGCCGACCCGGAGGGACTTGACGCCGCTGCCGACCGCCACCACGACGCCGCTGCCCTCCATGCCGAGGACCCACGGGAACCTGGGGAGGGACCTGAGGGTTAATATTTAGTCGGAGAGTAGAGGGGGGGATGATGGGGGTTTTTTGGGGTGTGTTGATGCCTGCAGAGATTAGAAGGAGAGGGAAAAAAAACATGGGCGACTGACTTGGCGGGAATCAGGTAGCGAAAGGTGCCAGCGGCGCCCATGGTTTCACCGGCCGACGACGAGGCCGCATGGACGCGGATGAGGCAGTCCCCCGGCTTGTTTATCTTTGGCACGGGGAGCGTCTGTATCTCGTACTGTGATGGGTGGGCAGGTTAGCGTCAATCACACGGCAGCTGAGATGGAAACAAGAAAGAAAAAAAAAAAGACCAAAAGCCCGCTTACCTTGTCGGGCGTGCAATAATCTGAGATGGCGAGTGCCCTCATGGTCGAGGGGATTTCCGGGGACGAAGACATGGTTTGTCACTTCCTTGCTGCCGAAGCCTTCTCGTTGTTGCCTTACTTAGGCTGTATAATTCGGTCGTGCGAAAGTGGCGCCCTATATTTCCGACTGATACATGAAGGATGCGATTCAAAGAGAAAAGCCAAAACATTGGTTAACACTCGGGTCTTTTATAGCCAAATTGCACAGACACGCACCCACGCCGCCGCCGCGCCCCGAACGTTCGGCGGTTCGGCGCCGACTCTTGGCAGCGCCCGACGCCGAATGTGGGGCCAGTCGGCGTCGGCCTCCAGTGCTCCCTTTGCCTGCCAAGTATCCATTTAGATCAAGGCCAGCTGATGCAACACATAACCAACACTCGCCTTAAAGTGCAAAATGTCACTTTGCCGTCCATCCGTCCGTCTACCTCAGGTACTCTCAGCAGCGGCAACAGCGGCAACAGCTTCACCCCCCGATCCGCGGCCCATCTTCTCCCTGCCGCAGGAACTTGATGGTGAACTCAAACGTCAGCTGGCCGCCCGGCACAGACCAGCTGTCCCATCTGCCGGCGGCGGCCTGACGGGTCGCCTCCCACACAGCGTGCAGGCGCTTTGCGGCCAGCACAAAATGTGTGAACCTGAAGCCCACACCATCCCAAGTCAGCCTTCTCCAGCCCCTACCGCCCGATGGGGAAAGTAGCCGAGACGAACAAACAGGCAAAGGAAAAAAAGGGGGAGGGAAGACACTCACGCAAGCGCAAAGCACAGGATATAGCCGTCCCGCACGAGGACTTGCAGGACCGCGGCGACTTCGCGGCAGCTGGACGGCTTGACCCGCTGGACACAGCCGTCGCGCAACGTGTCGCTCCACGACCTAGCCGCGAAGGCGGCGAGGTAGATGGCCAGGGCCGTGTCGGCCGCAAGGTTGGCGCCCAGCCACAACGGCCTGCCGCGCCAGAGCAGCCGAGCCAGATTGAGGCCCGAGAGCACGGCTGCGAAGAGGGCCTGTTTTTATTTTTTTATATTTTTTTTTATATTTTATTTCTTTGTGTCAGCTACGCGGTGCCCTCGCCACTTCCACTCCTGTAGGAACACGACATATCCCTTAGGGGCGCCATCTTACAAGATACAGGTCGCCTATCGCACTCTCGCGCACCCACCAGTACGAGGGCCTGTCGCGCAGATTCTGGGAGTCATAGATGACAAGGAAGGCGATCAGGAGGCCCGCCGCGGGAAGGGACAGTAGCAGCGACAAGCATGACAGGACGACCATGTCCCGGGGCGGCCGCGTCGGCGGGGGAGTGGAAGGCTCGGCGCCCTGCTCGGGACCTGGCGACGGCACTTGGGCCGGCTGCCCGGCATTGGCGAGCAGAGGCGTGTTCTCGGAGGCCATTGCGGCGGTCTGGTTGGTCGACATTGCGTTTTTGCACAGGGGTGGACGCCCCAAGGTAGGACTGATAACGACCTGTAAGGGTTGCGCCCGACAAAAGCTTGACAGATTGGAAGCCGGATCGACAACCCAGATCAGGTAGCCGCCAAGAGATGTAAAGTCTGATCACTGACCAAAGAACCGGGTGGCATGTGCAAAACCCGGATTCCGGGCCCGAGTCTTCTAGAACGGCTTGATAGATAGCAGTTGAAACACCGGACGGGAAGAAAGGAAAAAAGTAATGTCCTATGTATTGCTGACAAAAGAGGACAAATACTCAGGCAAGGGAACAGTGGTGGCCCAATCAGAACTGGCAGCCAGCGGCCTGCGCCCTCCGCAGTGGAAGGATTCTGGGGCTGAGCTGGGGGAATCACATCACAATCCTCTGCCACACACCCGGAAAGATTCCTAGAGAGGGCCAAGGCCCCTACTGCCCCTGGGCAATGGAGCCTAGAACCTCCTCAACCACGACCATGTCCTTGTCGACGTCGACCTTCCAGCTGCTGACGGCGAGGCGCGTGCACGTCATGCCCCTCCACACGGTGGGGGACACGTACATCTTCCTCGTTTCGTTGATCCTGTGCGCTAGCTGCCTGTTGACCGCCTCGTCCTTGGCCTTGAAGAGCACGACGATGTGCGTCGCCTCGTCGGGTTCGCCGCCGTCGTCAGGCAGCAGCTCGTAGTGGGGCGACGCGCGCACGTAGGCGGCCACCCTGCGCGCCATCCTGACCATGCGCGCCAGCATCCGCTCCATGCCCTCCCGCCCCTCACTGACCAGGACGGCGTAGACGGGCAGCGCGCGGAACCGGCGCGAGTTCTCCATGCCGATATTCAGGGGGCTCTGTATCGGGGCCCCGCCCGAGCCAGAGGGCGCCAGGTAGGCCGCGTTGGTGTTCTTGAAGACCTGCGACTGCACCGTGGCGTCGCGCGCGAAGAAGAAGCCGTTGTCGTACGGCTTTGCGTTGACAGGAGCATGAGCCTGAGTGTCTTTCCCCTAGTGGCGGTACAAGCAAAAGACGGCGGAGAGAGATCAACCTACCACGTTGAGAATCTTGTGGCCGTCGCCCGTGATGCTGTCGGCAAGATCAAGCCCCGAGACGGCATCATGGAGACGGGCGAACTCGCTGGTTTTCGGAAGAGCTCTCGCAAATATGCCAAAAGCTAGGCGGTGGCGTGTTAGTTGGGCACCTAGTCAAGGAAGTCCCGGACGAGCTTTGTGACACAACAAGGGGGAGATATCATTACCCCCGTCCACGTGGATCCAGGCCTTCTGCCGATCCGCTATGGCTCTGAGCTGCTCCATGTCTTGCCTGCCCACCACAGCAAACCTGCCCGTGTTCACCTCACCGGCACTGACGGAGATGATGGTGGCGACGCCCTCTCTAGCGGCCTCCCTCTCGACGGCTGCTATGTCCAGCCGGTAGGGCTCCTCGGCGCTCAGTGGCAGCTCCTTGACCGAGTCCCGGCCCAGTCCAACGATGGAAGCAGCTTTAGATAGCGAGCTGTGGCCGGCGCAGGTGAGTACCTGGATTTCCTTGATGCCAGCTTTGACGCAAGCGCGCAGGAGGCCGAGCTTGCCGACGGCGTCGGGGCTCGTGTCTTCCCCCGAACCAAGCGAGGCTTCTCCTGCTGCTGCTGCTGCCAGACGCCGGGCGATGATGGCCTCCCTGCCGCAAGCCAAGCCGAGTATGTTGCTAGCAGTGGCACCTGTGCTAAAGGTGCGGCCTGGCCATGCCTTGGGGTCCAAACGGAGCAACGACGTCAACATGGCCAGGGCCGTGTCTTCGACATCGGTGCAGACTGTTTGGGCGGGAAGGTGGACCTGGACGTTCTGGTCCATGGCAGTGACCATGTTGTCGGCCGCCTCGGCCACGGGCAGCGTGGACCCCGTGACAAAGCCGTAGTAGCGCCCGCTCAGGTTCTGGCCCGTCAGGGCAGGCAGCAGCTCGCCGTGGAGGTGCCCAATCGTGGCCTCGGCGCCCATGCCGACCAGGTACGAGGGCGACCCGGGGCGGGGCAGTGCCAGTGTTGCGGCCTCGAGGGCGCGAGGCGGAGGGAGGGTGCAGTCGCCATCCCAGGCGTCGACGGCGCCGCGCAAGCGGGAATATGCCGCACGCAAGAAGTCGCCACCGCCGCCGGCTGGGTCGCCCGATCCCGACATGGTTGGTCCTCTTCCGTCCCGCCTTCCTTCTTCTTTTGCTCCGCTTCGTTTGGTCTTCTTTTATCCTTCCTCGGTCTCTGCTTCTCCTCGCTTCTCCTCAAGGTTGGAACGGTGACGGGTACGAGGTGCCGGTGTCTGAACGCAACAAGGTCCGGTGTTTGTCAATGAGCGATAACTCGCCTTGCAGCAATCATGTACCCCCGCTCTTTTTTAACATACCGCCTTGTTGGTCAACTACGTATGCAAGCTATGTGCCGCGTTCCTGGGATCTAGTCTAGAGTTTACGGGGAAACGGGGAGGCAGAATAAGTACCTACCTTATGCATCGGCGCATGTAAACAAGCCCACAGGTAGGATGGCAGACAAGCCCAATATGAAGGAGGCGGTAACGGGCGTCGGGAATTGAGGCTTGCCACCAGACGCCGACACACTACCTACATGAGAGGCCCCAAGAGAACCCACAGTCTGGAGCACGCAGGATCCGGGTGACCCCGCAAGAATGGACCAGACTAGACTAGATCAGCTGTTGAGTCCGAGACGAGAGAGCGATAGACTCGCGTGGGGAGTTTGGACGAAGCGGCTAGACCTCGACGGCGAACCCGTGTCTGCGTCTACCTCGGACGCAGTGACAATGCCCAAGAGGTATTAGATTGGTGCTGCGTGCCTAGCCTACGTCCTAGACCACGCCTCGCCTACGTCCCCCTGCCTGGAAGAGGCCATAAGCCTTTGGGCGCCTGCTGGATTAGGAAACAGAGTCAGCAGACTGCCGGCCACACAGCATGGGACGATCGTGGGCAAATAGGACCAGGAGGCCGAGGCCCCTGCGACACGCCAGTTACTGGACGATTTGCCATGGAGCGACCGTCGGCGCCATTCTTCCGGTTGCGTCTGCCATGGATGGAAACAGAAGCAGAAGTCGAAGGCTCAGAACATGGGCCATCTCGGGCTCCTCGTCTTCCCGGATCCAACGATTGAAATCCACGGATGGTTGTGCGTGTCGCACTCGATGCAGGTGCGTTCCACAGGCCCCTCCAACTAGTATGCAGGCGGGCGGGACGTTGAGAATCAATGTGCTCGAGCGGGGCAGCAAGAGACATGGATTCGGAAAGCGTTGGGTGCACACAATCGATTCAAGCCGCTCTATTAGGCTCATGACATGAAGGTTCTAGGTTGCTTCAGTCTAAGATCAGCGCTTCCGCAGTGACTGGCGGGGGGCTAAAGGTCGCCCACTGCTCTCGAACCATGGCCTGAATCAAGCAACCCATTGATGTTCTTCAATCTCCACTTTGTTCGATATGTTCTTCTGGCTTCTGCGTTTGTGTCCGTCCCTCTGTTCATTTATTATCGGTTCTCTCATATGGATCGGTCAATACATCTCTCATATTGATACAAGGTGGGTGCGTGGTAGGTGGTCTGCCCTCTACCCGAGAGAAAGGACAGGACTATGGATCCATGCAAGTCTATTAACTCCGAGACAGATCCAGCCGGCCAGCCTATGTGACCCCACGCTGTCCCAAACTGGCGTCTTCACGGCTGCCCGCCTGCAGCTCAAGAGGGCCCAGACTGTCGGGTCCACACAGCTCAACAGCTCAGCTCGTTCGACCCGCGGCTGCGGTCCCCC